TCCACGCGAATTTTCATGAAATTGCCCATCTTAGAAACGATGTTGTCTACTGATTTTAAAGCTTCATTCTCATTGGGTGATGGACGGGTGCGGATCGACGTGAATCAATCGACACCGATTCCGTCGACAAAATTCTATCGATTCACGGGCTTGTCGATTGTATCACGGGTTTGTCGATCCATTCACGGGTTTTTCGATCGATTCACGGGTTTTTCGATCCATTCACGGCTTTTGTCGATCCATTCACGGTTTTTTGTCGATCGATTTACGGGTTTATCGATCGACTCATGGCTTTTGTCGATCGATTCACGAGTTTTCCGATCAACTCACAGCTTTTGTCAATCGATTCACGGGTTAGTCGATCGACTCACGGCTTTTGTCGATCCATTCACGGGTTTGTTGATCGATTCACAGGTTTTTCGATCGATTCACGGGCTGTTGATCGATTTACGGGTTTGTCGATCGACTCACGACTTTTGTCGATCCATTCACGGGTTTTTCGACCGACTCACGGGTTTTTCGATCGACTCACGGGTTTGTCGATCGATTCACGGGTTTTTCGATCCATTCACAACTTTTGTCGATCCATTCACGGTTTTTTTCGATCGATTTACGGGTTTGTCGATCGACGCATGGCTTTTGTCGATCGATTCACGAGTTTTTCGATCAACTCACAGCTTTTGTCAATCGATTCACAGCTTTTGTCGAACCATTCACGGGTTTGTTGATCGATTCACAGGTTTGTCGACCGATTCACGGGCTGTTGATCGATTTACGGGTTTGTCGATCGACTCACGGCTTTTGTCGATCCATTCACGGGTTTTTCGACCGATTCACAGGTTTGTCGATCGATTCACGGTTGTCGATCGATTCACGTCATCATTTTTCGGTCCATTCATGTCGATCGAATCCATACCCCCCGGAGAGATATCACCAGGTCTCTAAAATCTATCGTCTGTGGCCGTGATCTTGGCGGTTCTTGCACCGGTGATTCACCGGTCGAACGCGGGAGACTGTTGCAGACGCCGGCGCCAAGGCCGGCCCTTATGCGCCTAGGTCACCTGGTCAGTTGGTCGACCCCCCCCCCCCCCCCCNGGGGGCAAGCGCCACGCGCTGTTCCGCTGTTCAACGAGACGACATTTCCTCGCGCTTGCACATAATTATACGCAACACCCGCATTTGAATATGCACGAATCACCGGCGGTCAGTTGCCAGGTTGTTATTTAAATGCCGTTCAGGCATGGGCGGAAATAGGGGGTAGGGGGGGTGGTCCGTTGGAAATGTGCGGTTCCTCCAAAGAAACGAACATATTTTTTAATTAAATTTGATTGACATGTGTTGAAATTAATCTTTTTTGAGGTACATACCACATTTGCTACCATGAGCTAAAACTCAGCTTCTGTATGTATTTAATTGTGAAAGTAGAAAAATAAAAATGTGCGAAGTTTTGCTAAGTAAGTGTATGGCATCTTCTCTGCCGTGCTACGGAAGAACGCCGTATGAGCATTCGAGAGTCGCCAAAATTTTCCGCATAAAACGTGTATTTTTGACGAAATTTATGCGTATTTTTCCTTGAAATTTGAAAATGTTTTAGATTAGATTGCAAATAAAATAGTCTGAAAAATTGGAAGAAAAATATTTACAATTACTCCAATAATTTCGTATTCTATCAGAGGAAATTTGGCAAAGCCTAAAGGCTCGTACGGCGTTTTTCTTCGGCATGGCAGTTTCACCTTTCAAATAGTGATGGATCAACATACCGGTGGAAATGGCTCAAAATTACTACTGAATCGACTCAATTTTTCAAAATTTTCCGAGAGAGGACCCCCGGACTCCCCTCTGATGCTAAGGGAATCATGCAAATGCTCTTTTGGAGCTGGGGTAGTCCCACAGTGCCTCCTAGGCGGAGTGTCTTTTGGTGCCCCCCCCCCAGAACCCTCTTGATGAGGTGCCTCCCCCGAGAAGTTTTTAGTTCCACCCATGCGCACAAGTAGGGAATGGGGTTCCTGGAAAAATAAAAATATCTCTTCCCCCCCCAAACATGGGTTGGATAGTCTTTTAATGTGTGGTCGTTATAATTATATGAGGGGCTTGGAGGACAAGGCGCAAAAGTGCAGTTCTTGCTATTTCGAGAGATATGTGTTTGAAGTTTCAAAATTACACGGATTCTTAGGATGAATAGAAAGTTCAAACTGACTTTCTGATGCTTAAAAATTGAAATTTAAGAGTGAATTTTTCACAGAAGAGGCATTAAGACTAGTTTTACTAGAGGTAATTAAAATCTCAATTTTTTCAAAAACAGCACTTATGCGCATTGTCCTCCAAGTCCCTTATATGATAATTTAAAGCCTTAGGGTAGGATATTTTTTCGAATTTATGGTGAAAGACATAGGCGGCTTGACTTTGAAAATACGTAACTCGATTACTATTATTCAATTGAGTGCTTGAACCATAACTAGATATGCAGGTTTCATAGTATGCTTATTTTATGACTAAATGCAGTTTGGGGCCGCCATCAGTAGCTTTACAAACAGGCAAACAAAATGACCAATTCACACATATAAATAACGATACCAAAACTTAGTAGGCCGTTTCATCAAAAGGCAATTTTTGGGATGAGGGTCTTTTGGCATCTATCTCCTCAAAGGCAGGCTCCGACCGATACGATGTTTGCGGCAAAATCCCCCTTACATTTTGATAAATCATTCTTGCACGCTATCGGCATCGACGGGGTGATTCTCATATTGAGTGTCGATCGACAAGCATCCAATTTGAATGCGACGATGCAGCCTCCCTCAGCATCAGCCGTACTGCGACAAATTCACGCAATCTGTTCCTGGCAAAGGGATCGTCTTGCACTCTCCTTTGAGGTTCACATCACTGTACAGACGTAAACCCTCGGCACACGCAAGAAAAAAGACGAATACTACGAGACATAGACCTTTGAGCATTTTTTAAATTAGAAAAATTGAAATTAACGAAGTCAATAGGTCGAGATGTTAAAAATTAAAAGGAAGTTGAAAGTCAAAAGTTAAAAGGCTGAGGGGATCATATGCTGAGAAAGAAAAGAAGAGCCAAAAGAGAGTTGGCGACAGCACAACGCGGAGTCGGCACAAAGTATACTTTTAGCAAGGTTTTTCGATGTCTTTTCGTGCCGACATAAATTTCAATAATCGGCCCGCAGGTTGGGACAGCTGTATTTATCCAGGAGCTCAGTCGATCTTGATTCAATATTTTATAGTTTCGTATGATTTCAAAATCGACAATGAAACTGCAAGTACGCGAATTCCGGTTTTGACACGGTAAACTTCATGACATAATTTATTTTTTACACGGAAAATTCCTTGACTTTACATACATACATATAAAGCCGTTTTTATAGCAGTCTCTGGCGCACGACACATTATCGCAAAGAATTGCATGATTTAAATTTCGGTTGAAAAGAGAAATCTTGCAAGCGTGTTCGCATTGGAGATGGTATTTGGACGGAGTTAAACAGAAAGGAACCAAGCCACATCGGGATCGAAGCGAGGAAATGAGGTTTAAAGTTTGGCTCCTGCATAAGACTCAATGTAAAAGATAAACTTCAAGTTCAATTTCTGCAAAATGTTCTCCAACAAAAACCTAGAATTTTTGGCGATAGATAGTAGAGCAGTGGTTGAGTTCAAAACCACTCATAACTCAATTTTTTCCAAAATGTGGGTTGGTTCCTTTCTGCTTAACTCAGTCCATATGATCTTATACGGCTGCTGATACGCCAGTAACGTTAAGCTTCCAATAATTATTTCATCTTAACAAATACTTGAATTAGCTGCTTGAAATTCTACTGTAACCATGTCCACCCAGGGTCAGATTCACTATCCTTTTCCATCGGACGAAAGAACGTAATTATATTTTAATGTAACAAGCTTTCTCCTCGCATATTTTAGTCTCTTTGGAGCAATTGGACGTAGTTCTACCAAAGAGACCTATGTGGAAGTGAGAAATATGGGGTGTGCTCGTTAGTCTCTTTGCGTGGCGAGTGAATGGGAATAATTGTGCGCCAGTGACGTCAGCGGCAGTGAGTGCGCACTCTGGCGAGGGGGAGATGGTCGTCGGGGCCCTCTAACTCATGAGCCCTGTCCACAACGCTTTCTTCCCATGCCCGCGGCTCATGAGTTCCGCACTCAGCTGCACATAGGTCTGTTTGATAGAATGCAATATCCCGCTTTTCCAATTCTTCAAAAGGAACCACGCCCACTTTTACATTGCTTCTTATCCAGATTTCTAGAGCACACCCCACATTTCTCATCGCCACATAGGTCTGTTTGGTAGAAATACGTCCAATTTTGACCGAAAATTTTACTGATTTTTCTACTGATTACACCAAAGAATCAGCCAAAATTTGGCCAGAAGTTGAAGAGACATTCATATTCTAGTGAGAAAAATGAATTATTTGAGTCAATTTTGCAGCCTTGGCATGCAGTTACGTTCTCCCGTCTAGGAGCTGATTATCGAAATTTATGGACAAAGTGATAGACAAAAAATATGACAGGAAAGTGGAGCAATTCTATTGGTAGCAGCGGTGGTTGCAGTGGACATACAGGTGGTGAGTAATAGACCACTCGGAAACCCACGAGAGATCTTTGTGTTATAGACCATCATTTTTCCCTTTAACCTATAAAAGCCACGCACCCCTTCCAACCTGTAAGATTGCTCCTTTTCCCCGTCATCTCCTTTGTCTATAGCTATGTCCATGCCTTTGTCTATTAATTTCAATAATCGGTCCACAGGGAATGCCGATGCCTCAAAAATGTAACTTCCGATTTTTTTGATCCGCCTGCAGGTTGAAATGGCTCTCCTGAAAATTTTTTCTCGTATCAGGCTTCCTTTAGCTGGCTCATTTCATCTCTCGTCACTGATGAATGCCTCAACGTTTGTTTTTTTCTGCGCAAATCCTCGGTCTTGAAGATGGTAATAACTTCATTTGGTGAAATATCAATCCTTTTCTTTCTTCCCAGGTTGCTGGCAAGCGGGACCCAGATCAAGAAAGGGAAGCCCAAGAATGGATCGAAACAATAACAGGAGAAAAATTCCCACCGAGTGAGTTTCCAATTGAATTTGGTTAAGACGGGTTTTCAATGTCAAAGTTTGTGGCTTTCGTAGTAATTTTCACGGTTTTTAATGTGTATAACACTTGCCCACTTATAGCATGGTTGTAACGTGGTTAAGTAATGAGCTGAGCTCGCAGTGTTTTTCATAATTTTTTTCTGACATGGGAAATTGGAGAAAAATAGATTTAAAAGTGAGAAAATGAGCCGCCTTATGACGTCATATGGCAGCATTTTCCATTTAAACACATATATTTTAGCAAAATAGATTATTTTGTCACATTTTCCCTAATAATTGTCCAATATTGAAACCAAGGATATCCTTATACTCAGTTTTCCTAGTGGTATCATTTTAAAGATCAAATTCACAAAATTTAAGACACCTGCAAATTCTCTTTTCGTCACATCCCTTAAGTATTTCTGATGCATTGACTTTATGATATGTTTGAGTAGACAGGCCGTATGAGGACACCCTTCGAGATGGAATCATCTTGTGCAAGCTCATGAACAAACTTCTTCCCGGTAGCATTCCCAAGATCAACTACTCAGGCGGTGACTACAAGATGATGGACAACATCAGCATGTAAGATTTTTCGATTCTATCGTAAAGAGAATGCACAGGAAAAAAAGACTCTTAGATCGCCTGAGTCCAGACTCTTTAAATAATTGACAAGAAGAAATACTCTTGATTCAATCGGATTTTTGCTTGAATAAAAAAAAATCCACTTAAATCGAAAGACTTGGCTCTGGATTCAAGCAAAAATCCGATTGAATCAAGCGCACCTCTTCATGTCAAATATTTTAAGAGTCTGGACTCTAGACTCAAGAGACTTTTAATCTAGTGTGTATTAAATCATGCAAAAAATAATCTATAGCATTGCATTGTTGACATGAGGCGGCGGTTTTTTACATAATATATGAAACGTTGAAATGTAAAAAGTCTCTATCTTCAAGTAGCCGAAAACTTGTCAAGATGAGCAAAACATTATCTGCATATTACATTTGAGGGGCTTGGAGGACAAGGCGCATAAGTGCAGTTTTTGCTGTTTCGAGAAATACGTGTTTGAAGTTTCGAAATTACATGGATCTTTGTGGCGGAAAGAAAGTTTCAAACTGACTTTTTGATGCTAAAAGTTGGACTTTGGCAGCAAATTTTTCAGAGAATATGCATTCACACCAGTTTTACTCGATATCATTAATATCTCAATTTTTTCAAAAACTGCACTCACGCGCTTAATCCTCCGAGCCCCTTAATTGGGGAATAAAATTGTTTTCGTTGTATCATCGAAAACATATCGACGGCTAATGTGCGAAACAACGTATCTCCATGCGTTTCAAAATCTCCGCTTCTGACTGCATTTTGCAATTAGGCGCTACGGTATGACTAATCCAGAAAAACACATAAACACACACAAACACATCCAGGGAAACTAATGGTACAAATGTTGTTTGTAAACTTAGCCAGGAATTGTAGTTTCTAATTGCAAAACGTAGTCCAATTCAACTTTTTCAAGACTACCATCTCAAATTTTTCAAGAACTACACTTATGCGCCTTGTCCTCCAAGCCTCTCATTTGTAGTAGTTGAGTAGTTAGAAGGCGGAGAATTCTGCCGCGCTAAGGAGGAACGTCGTATGAGCGTTCAGACGTTGCCAAGTTTCCTCCGATAAAAACCGAATTTACTGGAAAAATTGCGAGTATTATTTTCCAAAAATTTCAGACAATTTTGTGCGCAATTTGATCTAAAATATCCGAAAATTTCAAGGAAAAATATGCATGAGCGTTGTCAAAAATACATGTTTCATCAAGGGAAATTTGGCAACTCCCGAATGTACATACGGCGTTTTTCTTTAGCTTGGCAGAATAATTTGCTAGTGTATCGCTTCCCGGCGACTTGCGTGCTTAACATGTTTTGAAAGTTCGTCGTCTCCGGCACGAAGGAACGTAACTCCACTCCAAGGTTGCCAAATTGACTCAAACGATTAACTTATGACACATAAATGTACGTAAGCAATTTGTATCCAAAATATCTCTGTTTTTTGCTTGGGATCTAGAGAAAAATCAGGGAAATTTTCAGTCAGAAATGCCCAAGATTCTCTTGATTAATAGGCAATTTGCGAGGGGAAATTTGGCAACATTGGAATGGAGTTACGTTCTTTCGTCCGGGAGACGACGAGTTATGAGCACGAATAGAAAATTTGGAGAAAGAGAAGAGGTCGAGGAGTGGCGCAAGCCAAAGATTATTTACGAGCTTGTTTTCATCATTTCACGTTTCACGTCGTCAATTTTTCGAGGCCAAAACTACCGCAACCACCCCCGCAACGTCAGATAAATTGCCTCATATCAAGATCGCTCACTGGTGTAGCTGAGAACGATGGAGAAACAAAAAAACCTACATTACGGCCTTGAAATTATATACCACTGCGTTTTTTGGAGAGTTACTAAGTATCATAATTTGGCAATTAAAAACTCTAAAAATGAACCTACGCGGAAGAAAAAGTGGGTTGTTGATTTAACAATTTTGTAGTTGGAAAAAGTGACAGGCATGTTTCAAATGCACATTTTACAAACATGTACATTCAAGCACGGGCGTAGTTAAATTAGCATTTTTTCATCGTAAAATCTACATTGAAACATGCCTGTCACTTTTTTTAACTATAAAAGTGCTAAATCAGCAATTTCATTTTTTCCAGGTATAAATATCTTTTCGTCTAAACTACAATTTTTGGGGTGCGAACTTCAAACGCTGCAATTTCGGTTTTTCAATAATTGGACTTGGTTTCGCGATAGGGAATTTCTATTCCTGGCGCATCCATAAATGGACCCACCTGTTGGGGAATCACTTTTGGCAGATACGTGATTGTTGAAATGAGACGAAAGTAAGGGTTCCTTGTCGCAAAATCGTCGTTTCCGAACGAATGACCGTAATTAAACTTTGACTCGGCGAAATTTCCACTCGAAAATTACACTATTACGAGGAATCCGTTGGGCATTTCTTCATGAATCTTTTCCTCATTTTTCTTCGGATCACACACTCAATAATGCTAAATTTTCAACAAATTTTGCAGAGTCATATTAACAAATATTAATTATTACTTTTCTGAACCTTTTGCAATCTTTGATTTTTGCACTCTTGAAAAAGAGTTACATTCCTTCGTCTGAAAACAACGAAATTTGGTCCAATTTGAAGCGTGCCTGGTCTCGAAATGTCCATTTGAACGTATTTATGCTGAGAGGAACTATGTTGCACAAAAACCATACGTCCATTTAATACTCCTACTCCTGTATATCGATGGTGAAACTTGGCGATGTTTTAAAATATTTACTTCCATTTTATTTCTCTGGGGGAGAACAAACGAGATCATTCCTTGACGTTTTAATATTTCTTCGCAAAGCGATGAGAAATCACAGAAGTTTTAAAGAGTTGACGTTGAGAAGTTTTCCATTTGAAAAATAAGGTATGATAGGAAGTGTGCAACGTCGCATACTGAGATACGCGGTTTGGGAGGTATACCGCGTCGACATGCTTTAGTGCACTTTATGCACAAACTTATTTAGAATATTTATGGACTAGAGTACTTTTTTCTGTGGACAGCCGAAAATAAAGATGATGCACCACTGTGCGAAGTATTATAATTTGGCCCAGGAGCATGGCAGTTTTTCACCGGTGATTGAAGTCAAATTACCCGTGTTTGTCTCCTCCTTTTCATTTCTGCCTCGGGTCTCAGGTGCATTAAGTGGGTTGCATATCTTAGAACCAGAGGAGCTCTAAATAATATTTCACGGATAATTGGGCGCGTGACCCACTTAACTCTAATCGTGACAAGGCAAGGGAAGATCGGAAGATAGGCATAGTGAAAAAAAGCAAAAAGCGAACCGTCCACGGGTAAAGGGACTTTCATCTAAAATAAATCAGAATTAAATTATTAAAGTCGGAGGACAAGGGGGCGTTTTATGATCATTTTAAGAGGGGAACCGCACTTATGGACGCTTTTCTGTCAAACGGAACTATGTGCATTATGACGTGAGCCCTGGTATGCATGTATTCGTATGGGTCTCAGGGCTCATGTCTTAATGCACATAGTTCCGTTTGATGTATTTTAGACGGAAGAACGTAACTACATTTGGACGCATTTCTGTCAAACGGAGCTATGTGCATTATAACGTGAGTCCTGTCATGCATGTATTCTTATGGGTCTCAGGGCTCATGTCTTAATGCACATTGTTCAGTTTGATAGAAATACGTCCATTTGAACGGTGCGAATTGTCTGAGTGTAAATTGTGTTTTTACGAGAAAACTGTTAGGCGTTTTTGCCTGGAGATATCGCAATTTTTTCTTCTGATGACAGAAATATTACAGTCGTGTTCTTGTTAAAAATTGAACTTTTTGGGTAAATTTTGTAAATGTCGAATGAAGTTAACTTTCTTCGTGTGATGCACCACGAGAAATGTCGAAAAAAATTGAAATAACTTTGTTTTAAACTCAGTTAATAACACATTGTTTTTAGAAAAAGCTGTTTAAAATTCAGATTTGTTATGTCCAGGGCGCCAAATTGCTTGGTAAAATGCAAATTCACTTCGGCCTTTGTAATAAAGAATGAGTTGAGTCTCTCAAAGTTTATTCTTTGGAATGATAGAGCATTTTCCATCGAAAACTCAAAATCCAGTTTCTCCGCCCAACTGGACAAACTCGCTAAATTAAAAGTGTTGTCTCAAAAAATAAAGGTCCGGTTTCTCATGGACATTTATAAATGATTATATTTTAAGAGCACTGATAATTTAAATAAAAGATTAATGTGGACAGTCGGTGGTGGTTTGATCTTCAGGTCATAGCATGACTTTTTAAAGCGATTTTATAGTCGATATATCAGGTGGTCTGTACTGAATTTTAAGACATTTTTCTTTGAATAAATATCCTATATTCTTATCATCCTACAGTCCGTCTGGTGCATGCAAAGAGATTTAACTCAGAAACGCTTTCAAGTAACTCAAAAAGTACGTTTCGAGTGAAATTCGTTCAAATATTGCATCGTTGCAATTTGTCGCGTCTGTAGATTTATGATATATTCAGTATGAACGTACCTTCTGAATGATTTGGACTGCATTTTACAATTTTGAACTATAAATTCTGGTTCATCTGAAAAACACTTGTGTGCATAGGGAAACTGGACGTATTTATGCGAAAAGGAGATATGTGGAAGTGGAAAGATGGGGTGTGCTCGTTAGTGGTCGGGCCATAAGAATGAATGGGGAATATTGTGCGCCAGTGACGTCAGCGGCAGTGAGTGCGCACTCTAACGGCGGGGAGATGGTCGTCGGGGCGCTGTAACTCGTGAGCCCTGTCCACAACGCTCTCTTCCCATGCCCGCGGCTCATGAGTTAGCATATTTTGCCGCTTAGCTCCTTTTGATTTAATAGAAAATCCCGCTTCTCAATTTTCTCAAAAGGAGCTATATCCACTTTTACATTGTTTCTTATGACCCAACTAACGAGCACACCCCATCTTTCCACTTGCACATATCTCCTTTTAGCATAAATACGTCCAACTAATGGCACATGCGTTGTTTTTAATTCGGGCCAGAATTTATGGTTCCAAATTGCAAAATGCAGTCCATTTCGAAGTGTTCTTTGGTCAAGTCTTCACCATTTATCAAACTGCATTGTAAGTAACTTTGTCCTCGTTTGTTTCATTGCAGGTTCCAAAAAGCGTGCATCGCCTACGGAGTCCCGGACGTAGACCTTTTCCAGTCAGTTGATCTATTTGAAAGGAAAAATATCGCCCAAGTCACGATGACGATTTTCGCTATTGGCCGAACGGTTCGTTACCAACCTCTCTGCATTATTTGAATGGATGCGAACTTTTGATTGAAATCGTGCTGGTTTACACGATAGAGTAAAAATCAGGTATTTCATGAGGTGTAAAGATGTACCTCTCGACAAGTCATAAAAATTGACATACAAAAACAATTCTAAAATGAACTTGCGAAGTTGAGCTACGTAGTCAAATGTCTAGCAAATGAGAAGTAGAATAACCGGCCATAGAGTTTTTTGTCCATCGATCAGTCGTCATTTTCAACTGATGGACAAAAATTTTGGCATTTTTCCTGTCAAAGCAACCTTCAAGAGTAAGAATATGTTTTGATACCTTTGACATACAGCATGGGGGCTTCAAGAAGAACACAACCAGAATGGTAGACAGAACGGATTGAAGCAGTCAAAGCTGGCATTTCCTGGAATTGATTCCAAATTTCGGAATTCTTTCGGAATCTTCAGAATTCCCAGCTATTTTCAGAATTTTCTCGGAATTTTGGAGGTTTTCGTCAGTTTGACCGAAAATTTGATGTTTGACTACAGAATTAAAGGAACTCAAATTTACAATATAATGCAAAAAAATTTGAAATATCTCGTCATGTGAATACAGAAGATTCGAAAACGCCTTCACTTGAGGCGTGATACCTTACGCGTTCCGGAGAGTTCAAATAGTTGTATCCCTGCGCCTCAGCACGGCGATGGAAGCTTAATATTGAAGTAACGTCACCGCTTGGTTTTTCGGTTTTCCTGTGCCGCTACTGCAGTTTCGACCATTAAGGCCGTAGTTTAAGGGCGCTAAAGCCAGACTTGTGTTTCGGAATTGGATAATTTTTGCAGAATAATTAAAAATTAAGACGCAGGGGAAATTTAACTACGTAATTAAAGGAACTCAAATCAACATTAAAATGCAAAACAATTTGAAATATCTCTTCATGTAAAAACAGATGATTCGAAAATGCCTTCAATCTGGCGTGATACCTCACGCGTTCCTGGAAGTTCAAATAGTTGTATCCCTACGCCTTAGCACGGCGATGGAATCTTAATATTGAAGTAGCGTCCCCGCTTGGTTTTTCGGTTTTCTTGTGCCGCTACTTCAGTTTCGACCGTTAAGGCCGTAGTTTAAGGGCGCTAAAGCCAGGATTGTATTTTGCCAACGGATAATTTTTGCAGAATAATTAAAAATTAAGGTGCATGAGTAATTTAACTTAATCATAAAGGGAACTCAAATCAACAATATAATGCAAAACAATATGGATAAGCTTAAGCTTGTCATGTAAAAACAGAAGATTCGAATACGCCTTCAATTGAAGCGTGATACCTCACGCGTTCCGGAGAGTTCAAATAGTTGTATCCCTGCGCTTTAGCACGGCGTTGGAAGCTGAATATTGAAGTAGCGTCCCAGCTTGGTTTTTCTGTTTTCCTGTGCCGCTACTGCAGTTTCGACCGTTAAGGCCGTAGTTTAAGGGCGCTAAAGCCAGACTTGTATTTCGCAAATGGATAATTTTTGCAGAAAAATTAAAAATGAAGAAGTAGGAGTTTGACGATCTTCGGAACTAGATCCAGGCGCATTTTGGAATTTTTCCAGGAACTTTTGAAAAATCGGAATCATTCTGGGAACCCTGGAACCTTTGGTAAAATAAAATGGCATCACTAGAAGCAGTGAGCCTCACATTTACTTAAAAACAAGTATTTTAGGCTCTTGCTGGGGCTAATAACATCGATGGTGAAACTTTCAAATCACTTATCTCGATTTGCGACGTTGTAGACTTCGTGTTATACTTCATTTTTGAAATGAGGCACTACAGAATGTCAATTCTTAAGAATTTCCGTGATTTTTCTTTCCTGTGCGAGATAAATTCTGAAAAAATTTCCAGGAACGATGTTGATTTGCTCTCCTTCAAATAATCAAAGTAGGTATTTTTAAACACCGCAAACGAATTACGTGGTTTGCAGTGGCGTGGCTTAAATGATCGACTATCGGTTTTTCCCTATTTGAAGCTATGGCAAAGAATCGTTTATTAAGGTGTTCGTTGCGAACGCACTTTTTATCGATCTTTTTTCATAGGTTAAAATAACAGATCAACCGATATATCGCAAAGCACGCCACGCCACTGGTGGTTTGGAAGTTTCACCGTCGATAGATCTATTTACCCGTCATTAGCTTAGAACGACGCGACTTAAAGAGCCTTCAAATCAGAGAGTAGGCAAATTGACGCACAAAGCGCTTTGATGCTACCATTTCAATAACACAATTCCATAATGTGAGGCGCCGCCCACTTAATCGTCCGTACCGTATGTTCGCCTTCACTGTGCATAGGTAGACGATTTCTTGACTTAGGGACACGTTGATTTGTATCCTACTTCGCCGTACTTTTTTTCCATAATTTTCATAGGTAATCCTTGATCTTCCTCCCGAAGTAGTGTCTTAGACGGTTCCGGGAATAATGATTGCAAATCTATTATTTAAAAAGAATTAAATGAAAATAAGTAAATAGGTAGAGACATGAAATGCACAATATAACTAAATTGATAGTTGATATGTAGCTATATGTAAGTGATTTAATCTATTTTGCACAATTACTATGTCAATTGCACTTCTTCCCAATTTCGAGCAAGACTGCTGTCGGTCTTGTTTCAAAGTTGTTATCTAATAAATAAAATCATTATTAATTAAAAAAAAAAAAAAAAAAAAAAAAAAAAAAAAAAAAAAAAAAATCCTTGATCTTCATCGAAACACGGCGCCTTGCTCTCATGTTTGAATTTGACTGTTGCAGGCGTACAAGCACCCAGAATTCCGCGGACCGTTCCTGGGTCCCCGGCCGTCAGAGGAACAGAAGCGGGAATGGACCGAAGAGCAACTCCGAGCTGGTGAGGCTGTCATCGGACTTCAAGCAGGTTCCAACAAGGGCGCTACGCAGGCCGGACAGAGTTTCGGCGCCACCAGGAAAATCCTCCTGGGAAAATAAATCTTGCATCTTCGTGTCATCTTCGCTGCCGTCTTGAGGAACGGAACAGTGTGTGTAAAAGTCCTAAGGTGCCAAATTTCCTCCGATAAAATGTTCATTTTGGAGGAAAGTCATGCATATTTTTCCTTGAAATTTTCAGATGAGTTAGATTAAAGTGCGAACAATATAGCCCGAAAAATTGGTAGGAGAATATTCTCAACTTCCATAGTAAATTTGTACTTAAATTTAGTAACGCCTGAAGGTTCATACGGCGTTTTTCCATAGCACGGTAGAATTACGCGAGTCTTAGTACGGCTATCGAAACATTTGGCTACCTGGAATTTGGAAATCTTATTATTTCACATACTGTTCTCTTCCTTTGTATTGTACTGTGTCGATGGTGAAACCGCAAGAGCGTGTAACTTTGTGGCTCATCAAAATCCACGCTCTGATTCTTTTTTCGGCTTAAAAATGTCGCAGAATATTCTTCGTACAAAACATAAAAAGCACAGTATTTTCCACTGAATAGTATTAAGCAGTGCTCTATTATAAAAAAGTAACAAAGGATGAAAGGAAGTCCACAGCACCACTCAAAGAGTTACACGTTTCTGTAGTTTCACGGTCGACATGTTGTTGACATGGAAACGATCAAACGACAACGAACACCAGTATTAGAGAACATTAAACTTTGTGAATTTGAAGGGAAAGCATTGCCATGACAGTTTTTTTGTCATTTTGAATTTTTATTTTTAGTTGAAAAAACAGAGCTGAGAAATGTTACAATCATCGCATGAAATTTAAGCTTGCGATAATTTACAATAACTTTCAGCACTGTGAACTCAGGAGAGAAGTTCGACGCAAAATTGACTTTCTCTCGTCCCTTTCATAAGTTATCATAAATTTTAGTTTTGATCGATTGAAGAAATTTTTCAGTGTATACAAACAAACTAGCCACGGTGATTAGTTGTTAAAAGTTGGATAAACTTCTCCAAAACTAGTCTCATTTATACTGCATTTCATTTTTATTTAATTTATTCATTCATACATTGAATTTTTTTAAACGCATTCACATTACGTTGTCTATACTCGGGTTAAGGGTGCAATTCTTTTTAAAACGGCTATATTCCGATTTTTAATTAATTTTTGAAGTGCATTAGACAAATTTGAATAGAATTTTTCTCGCTAATTACGAAGGTACATCAGTATGAGCAAATTAAAAGAGGATGCTTAAACTAATTTTATGATTAATTTGACCGTTTAAAGCTTTGTATCACCTTTGTGTGGTGATCTCTAGACCCGACACTAATATCACTGATTTAACTTTTGTTTTCCAAAAAATACCGCACTGTGTCAAAGATGTATTTTTATTCGTTTATCTGCTTCAAGATTCAATTTCAATATTTTTTAGTTAATTTTCTCATAATAAATTATTTTACAAGATTTGAATGAGAGTATTTATTTTCATTTGTATTTTGAATACCAAGACTTCGATGGCTAAAGTCGAAAAATGCGTATCTCCAATGCTACGTTTAACTTTGGCTGTGTTGCTCACGTAGCCCTTGAAGAATCACTACAAATGAGACAAACGAAACTAACGTAGTATGGAAATGAGGCAAGGGAAACGAAGCGCGTTGAAAACGGCGCAGAGATACAACTATTCGTGCTTGATGGATGTCCGTGCTGCATCTGCAAAATTGAAGGCGCGATGGCGCGAGGTGTGAACTTGCAATGCTCCGCTATATCGACGGTGTAAGTCGGCAATCATATATCTCGTTTGCGGTGTCTGAAAATCTTCGCCTCTGCGTTATTTTTTAAAGGAGAACAAATTGACATCATTCTTTGAAGTTTTTGCAGAATTTTCATCGCACAGAGAAGAAAAATCACGGCAGTTTTAAAGAATTGCCGTTGAGTAGTTTTCCGTTTAAAAAATAAAGTATGACAGGAATTCTGCGACGCCGCAAACCGAGTTATGTGATTGCCGACTTACACCGTCAATATGCTACCGATGAGGTGATGCTCAGATTCGGGAGAAAAGTTAAAAAAAGAGGCCAGAATACGTCTCTTCTGTCTTTGGCTGAGTTGGCACTCAATTATTTCTTTTTTCTAGGTTCATGTCTAAATGATGCCATATGTCGTGATTTTTTTAAAGATGGATTTGCAGACTCACGCTAAAGCTCATGTAAACTGGATCCATACAATCCTTACCGTCTTTTTAGGAAGTCTCAGGTCGATTTGACCCGGTCGGCATCTAAGGGTTACGAAAATATCATTAGAGCGACTGCTGTACCTTCCTCGCAAAAACTCAGGATTCATCATTGAATCCGAAAGAGACCATTCAGTATGTAAATTTTAATACCATCTCGTTATATTTAATGTAGCAAAAATAGGCTCCTATCGTCCGGTCATGTACAAAAACATTCTCATTGCCAGAAAAATGATTGTTGAATGGGATGTCCTGCTACGGATCTCTGATGCATTGAATAGTTTTGTTCGTGCCTCTTTATTTTTCCTTGTCTTATTGAAGTCCTTTTCCAAATACACACTCAATTTTTTCTCTCTCTTTCCTTTCAAATTTCTTCGTGTACCTACTGGATTGACTGTTTCGTTATGTTCCTTGGGTTCATCATTTCCAGACTTTTAGTTTTTGGTCACCAGCCTTAGCTCGGTACCTCTGAAAAGGGCGGTGCTTGGGTGCGTCAAGCAGCTTCGATTTTATAATTATTTATTTATTTTTTTCACTTCACATGTCTATCAGTTACTTCAATACGTTCAACTTTGCAATTTTTACTCTGTACGATCAATCAATTTTGAACCTGAAAATAGCGTAAAATTGTGCTGAGTTACCAACTATTTCTGAACCCCCCCCCTTTTGCGTAGAGTGTGGGCCCCCGGAAATAGCACATTACGCCCCCTTAACCGGCCAAGGGTTTACGCCCTCAGGTGTGAGGCAGTCCGACCCTGCTCTCCTTAATCACAATATAAACCATATCGACGGTGTAGGTCGGCAATCACATAACTCGGTTTGCGACGGCACAGACTTCCTGTCATACTTTATTTATTTTTAAACGAAAAACTACTCAACGGCAATTCTTTGAATCTGCAGTGCTTTTTCTTCTCGGTGCGAAGAAAATTCTGCAAAAACTTCAAGGAATGACGTCAATTTGTTCTCCTATAAAAAAAAAAAAAAAAAAAAAAAAAAAAAAAAAAAAAACCACATAGAGGCGGAGATTTTCAGACATCGCAAACGAGATATATGATTGCCGACTTACACGGTCGATAAACAGCTCTTAAGGAAAGGAGCTGTGAAAGGAGCGCCTTTGAATACGAGCATACAACAGTCAATAACTCCGGGTGCGTTTTCGCACTACCTGACCAAACTCACTCCAAGACGATGAAAGTTTTTGCGAGCCGATTCAGTCGAAAGAATTGCGTTTCGTCGCCACGCGAGCTCCTAGCGGCCGGACTATTGTATGCCAATCAGCTTGCTCCGGACTCTAAAATTAGCCGAATGACAATTACGGACTTCGAAATCAGTTATGTAATTTGAAAAATTAGGCCGCGGCAGGACGCGGATTCAAGGCCAAGGTGAGCTTTCCGTCCCGTAGACTTGTCTGCGATCCAGGCATTTTCCGATGAGGAGAAATCTGCGGACCGATTATTGAAACTGATAGACAAAGCTATAGACAAAGACGACAAAAGGGATTTGGAGGGATGTTATTGGTGGAAGCGGGTGGTGGCAATGGACATAGGAGGTAGGTAACGGACTGAGTAACGGCAACCCACGGGAGACCTTTAGTTAGTCCATCATTTTCTTCCTTAGTCTATAGGAACCAGCCATGTCAACCAATAGGATCGCTCCATACTCCCAATGTCTTCTTTGTCTATCGCTTTGTCTATCAGTTCCAATAATCGGCCCGCTGAGGGCTTACGTCCTTTTCCCGAGGAAAGCTCGACCTGAGAGCTAGCTAGAGCTGACTAGTACACGACCGGCCGTACTAAGGAAGAACACCGTATGAACATTCGAGGGCTGCCAAATTTCCCTCGATAAAGAACATTATTTTTAATGTATTTTGGGCAATATTCACGCATATTTTTCTTTGAAATTTTCAGATATTATAGATTAAATTACGTACAAAATTTTCTGAAAATTTTGAGAAAAAATATTCACAATTTTCTCAGTAAATTCGGTTTCTATCAAAGGAAACTTGGCAACGTCTGAAGGCTCATACGGCGTTTTTCCTAAGCACGGCATACACGTAACTGAGGCTAATCTCAATCATTATCTAGGTATATTAATTATCTATATTTCCCTGCTTGGAGCTGTGGTAAAGAATCGATTATTAAGGCTTTTGCTGCGAACACTCTGTTCATTGATCATTTTCCGTGGGTTTAAATGGTGGATCAATCGATTTATTGCAAAGCACGTCACGCCACTGGTTCACCGGGAGAATCCCGAGCATCCTTAACTGAAAATTTTACCGATTTTTCGTCTAGCCTCATGCAAAAATCAGACAAACTTGTACAAAAATTTTACAGGTGTGGTATACATTCTAGAAAAAAATTGAATATTTTACGCAATCTTCCCTTCTAGAATCCAGTTACGTTCTTTTCATAAGGAAACGATGCATAGTGTGTCGAGGTATTAGAAAAGGGCAATTATGAAATTTTTGGGTAAATTCACAAATTTTGATATTGATCTCGTAACAAATACAATTTTAAGGGGGGGGGGTGTCTGAAAGACAACATCATGGCAAATCCAACGAAACCACTTTTAAACTTCTCCTTTTCACACTTTCAAAGATACGAGCTTCCAAAGTTTCCACATTTTGTCCAATTTCACCCATTATCCTTGTTCCTTTGTGCGACGATTTGAACAAGATCCCTCCCTGAAAAAAAAGACGCCTTGCACTAGCATGATGATTCTTGAATTTGCCGCCAAGAATTTTTTTTATCGTGATTTAAGCTGAATTTTTCTTGATATTAGAAAAATAATGCTTGGGTTAAGCAAAAAAAAAAAAAAAAAAAAAAAAAAAAAAAAAAAAAAAAGTTTGTATTATGCAGCAAAATTTTTGATTTAAGAAAACATACTTTTTGGCGGCAAATTTAAGATTTTTTTTTCCAGTACTGAGTTCCCCCAAAAAGGCATTTTTTACTATGGCTCTGTAAAGTAACCACGACCTAACGAGATCCGAAGACTTTTCAGATTCGATCGGGAACTTTCTACGGAGATTCAAGTCGTAGTTGGACCGCAGAAATCGGAGTATGAATCACTTCAAGACCGAGAAATTACCAATGAAGCACTCAAAAAGCGATAATCTCGGTCATAACCGAGAATGCCTCCAATCGGAACTTATTCCGCCGGGAAACTAGTAGATGAATTAGCCTCGAAGTGTGATCCTCATTATTAAAATTAATATTCGATGATAATTTTTTCGTGTGACGTCATCGCTGAATTTCACTCGGTCTCCACGTCTCATTGAATGAAGACAGCGTGCGCAAAAACCAAGGATTAAAAAGGTAAGTTAACCGATTCATTGAAATTCTCACCATAGGGCTTAGTTCACTGGCAAGGCTAATTTTAGCCACTCTGAACGGACCTGGGGTCGTATTCTACCGTGCTGAGGATAAACGCCGTATGAACCTTCGAGTGTTGCCAAATTTCCCCGAATAAAACACGTATTTTTGCATATTTTTCCTAGAAATTTTCAGATATATTGACAATTTCAGACGCTTTCAGTTGTGGACAATATTTTCTGAAAAATCGGAGGAAAAATATTCAGAATTTTCCCAGTAAATTCGTTTTTTATTCAAGGATTTATGACAACGCCTGAGGGCTCATACGGCGTTTTTCCTTGGCAGGGCAGTATTCATAGTCGTTCCTAGAACAGTTCCTTGACTTAAGAGGCCCTGTATGGTTTACATTATGATTGAGGGAGGAGTACACCTTGCCTAAAGACCAACTTTAATGCGCTTAATCCGAGTAGGCGAACGAATTTGTTGTTGTCTATTAAGTGCAAAGCGAGAGAATTTGCTCTTGAATCATTGATCAGATCATGAGAATGTCTGCATAACAGGGCTCACGTCATAACGCACATAGTTCCGTGTACCAGAAATACGTCCAGCTGTTCCTTTTATACCTACTTTCCTCGAGGAGCCCCATATCGGTGATGAAACTGCAAAAATTGTCATATCGGTTGCGGTTCAAAATCTCCGCTCCTCCTTTATTTGAACGTATTTCTGCCGAACAGAACTATGTGCATTAAGACATGAGCCCTGAGATCCATGAGGATATAATGCATAACAGGGCTCATGCCTCAATGCACATAGTTCCGTTTGGCAGAAATACGTCCATTTTTTAAAAGAGACCCAACCAACAATATGGCTCGAAATTTTTACGGAATATTCTCCGCACAAATAATGGAAACCTCCGAGATTCTCAAGAAATGGCGTTTAGTAGTTTTCCACGTAGAAAATAAAAGATGCAAAGAAGTCTGCAACGCCGCAAACCGAGATGTGCATTTCTGCAGTTTCAAAATGGAGACGCTGCAATGCTGCATGTGCGAGGAATTTGAGATATGACTGTTGATTCTTATGTAAAAGTTGGCGAGAAACACGATGGTGCCGCTGGTTTTCCCTGAAATCAACTTTCAAACTCAAAAGAGGCTCTCAAGTTGAGGCCAAGATGGAGGGAATATCCCAAGTTATCCTAAGAGTCCACCTCTACATCAAGACAAACTCTCCATGGAAATTTGCGATTCATAACGTAACTCATGGTCCACTGGACGAAGGCGTGTTTTTGCAGGGCCTCGCGAGAGGGCATAACCCAAGCCAGATCGCGACTGCCGTTGCACCTGACCACACCAATAGTTCGAATCTCATGAATAATCATCGATGAACGTATAATTCTTATCCCCCGTTGCTCCACTACTGTCCGTGTCTGCTCCGCGGATTTCCTTGAAGTCTTTTCCCAATCAGTATCTCCAGATCACGCTGAGGGAGCTCAAAATCAGGATTGGTGTCTGTTTAACACCAACTTCTTTATTGAGTCTTATTTTGTGACACACACACAGTCTTTGGACTTTTAAATGTGGGCTTGTTTAGGATTTTGGCTCAAAAAATACGCAATAAATCACCACGTCATCTACAATTGTAATACTTTCAAAATATTATTTTTTTTTTTTAACAAAAAAAAAACGTTTTAGGGACCCGTTAGATGTATCATATTTTGAAGGATACTCGAGTCCTAAAATTTGGGCTAGTAATTATTTTCATGCTCTCTTCGATAGCACGGCAGAGTCGGATGTATTTCTGCCAAACTGAACTATGTACATTATGACGTGAGCCCTGTTATGCATACATCTCATGGGTCTCAGGGCTCATGTCTCAATGCGCATAGTTCCGTTTGATAAAATACGTTCAGTCGGTGCATAGCAAAAACCTGGCACGAAAAATAGGAATTTCCTGGTGCGTCTGACCGCTCATTCGTTACGCCACGCGACATTCGGCGAGCACAATGACGGTCAGTGTTAATTAATTGATCTCCCTCTCTCATTATGCCCTCACGCATTTACATAGTATTTGCATACGCTCAAACAGTGACACAACTTCAAATCTATAGTTCGCCTACTGCAATGCCGATCTGTCAGTCTAGGATCGGAGCTAGGACCGTAATAACAGCAGTTCCTCAGGGCTGTACTGCCGTGCTAAGGAAGAACGCCGTATGAACATTAGAGAGTTGCCAAATATTCGTTGATAAAACATATATTTTTGAAAACACTCATGCAAATTTTTCCTTGAAATTTTCAGATATTTTAGATCAAATTGCGTACAAAACTGTCTGAAATTTTTGGAAAATAATATGCACAATTTTCCCAGTAATTTTGGTTTTTATCGGAGGAAATTTGACAACGGCTGAAGGCTCATACGGCGTTCTTCCTTAGCACGGCAGTGTAATAACAGCCGTTTCTTAGGGCCGTAATAACAGCAGTTTCCTAGGGCCATTTTCATAGTCGTTATACTAAATTCCTCAGGAAAGCCCATATGGTTCACAGCGTGATTATGGAAGGTTTAAAGTAAATTCTTAGTAAAGAAATTTAAAAATCACAATTTTTTCGAATGAAATTTAATGGTAAAATCTCAGAAACAGGCCGTTTCAAGGGATTGCAACGGTTTGCCACTACAAAAAATGAAAAAAAAAAAAAAAAAAACATAAGAAAAGATTCAATGATTTCAATTTAGGTGCGAATCTACCTCACAATTTTCCAAACTGGCGGGATGTTTTCAATATTTTTAATCATTAACAAAGGCAAATCATCGTAAACCCTTGCGAGGGTCTATCGTCTAAATAATAGTGTTGAATTTTACTCGAGATTTTCGGAAATCGTCCTTATTTAAAGTTTTGTTAAGGATCTACCTGAATCTCCCCTGATCAAAATGTAAACCAAGTCAATGGAGATGTTGCATGTGTGAGGAATTTGCGATTTGATTATTGATTCTTATGTAAAAGTTCGCGAGAAATCAACTCCCAAGCTCAAAAAACGCTCTCGAAGTTGAGGCCAAAATAGAGGGGATATCCCACGCTATCCTGAGAGTCCACCTCTACATCAAGACGAACTCTCCATGCAAAGATAGGGAGCAAATACATCAGCAGGGTTGCCGTGTTTTCAGTTTGGGAGTCCTCAAATAAAGTGGCAGCCCTGTCAATGTATTTGCTCCCTATCTTTGCATGGAGAGTTGGTCTTGATGTAGAGGTGGACTCTCAGGATATAGCTTGGGATATAGTCGAATGGAGGTACGGCGTTTTGACTTTAGTCGGCAGTATTGTCTATTGTATTGTATTCCATCAATCATGTATCGGAGTAACGGTCGAACTTAAAGTTGTTCCTGGAACAGCTCCTCTCTTTATTCATGATGGGGCATATTATTCACTTTTGAGGATCAAGGAAGCTTGAACATAGCATAAAAGAGACAATTTTAGCAAACTTCAAGTGAAACAAGGCTGTTGAGTAATTTTTAATGGAGAATTTGTATGTGTCTGAATTTTGATGAATGTCGTGTTTAAGTGAGAACTACCGAGTGAACTGTAAACGAAGATACTCTTGCTTCATAAATTGAAGAAGCATTGGAGGAGATATGACAAAATGACCTAATCTGCCACAAAAAATGTGTTTAAGGAGGAAATACCGTCTATTGACGTCACCAGGTGGCACATTTTTTCACTTTAAGATCTATTTCTCTACAATTTTCCACTTCAGGAAAAAAAAACGTTAAAAAATTACTGCGAACTCAGCTCTAGGAGCACCCTGAAATATAGCGATAACGTTTTTTTGTGCAAATTCTTCATTCTTGCACCTATTTTTGAAAAGCGGAGAAGGTACTAAATTAGTCACAAGTATTTTCCCAGGTTTCTGTAGAGATATTTTTCACGGGAGAAAAGTGCAAAGTTGCGTGTATGAAGCCGCAATCCTGCCGTGCTAAGGAAAAACGCCGTATGAACTCTTAGACGTTGCCAAATTTTGAATATTCAATCTGAGTAATATCTGAAAATATCCAAATATCTGAAAATTTCAAGGAAAAGTACGAATTACTTTCCTCCAAAATACATATTTCATACAGAGAAATTTAGCAACTCTCGAATGTTCTTCCGGCATTTTCCTTAGCATGACAGGATTGAAACCTGTACCGCTGAAAAAGCCAAGATGGCGCTCAAAAATATCCCCATCACTGAGATCTCTCGTCCGACTGCGACACCTCTCTCCTTCGATTTATGGTCCGTGCAGACTACGCTCTCATGAGAAAAATCGTAAATACCTAGCTCTGATTGAAGCAACGGCCCCTATTCCGTACGCGGAAAAAAATTAAATGCTGATTTAGCATTTATATTGTTAAAAACATGTCCGACAAGTTTCAAATGGTGATTTTACATTTGAAGAAATGCTAACTTAACCACGCCCACTGTAAAACGAGCAAATTCAAATGTTGTGTTAGCATTTTTGTATTGTAAAATCAGCATTTGAAACTTGACGGCCTTTTTTTTAACATTTTAAATGCTAAATCAGCATTTAATTTTTCCGTGCAAGTGTGAAAGCGAGTTGTAAGACACACATGCCATTCAAACGATTAGACGCGCAAAAATTCGAGTAAGCTAGAAAACTCGGAGGTGTAAATTTATCGACCGAAGTTACGGTCGGTAAAATTACTGCGTTTAACGATTTCCTGAGTTGAGGCTGTACGTAGGTAATGACATGCGACTGCTTTGAAGATTATGCTCGTGAAAACGGCTCGAGCATAAGCTTGATCAAGAGGCCTCGTCTCGAATTCGAATACACGCGTCGCGTCGCACAGCTACGACGTTGCATATTTTGGAAGAGTGAGCTGACTTAAGGGGGTGAGGCACTGAAAAAAAAATCTCGGTGTATTTACTAAGGAAATGGTAAAATTACCAAGAATTCAGGGTTCTATTTGATCCCGGTTTTTTCTTGGTAAAATTACCATTTATGAAATTGGTAATTTTACCA